ATTTTGTCCTTTCCCGAATCCATCTGAACGATTCTCTGGCTTGACGTCTCTATGTACGGACAGTTTTTCCAAACGGAATTATAAAAGGGATTTAAAGTGGATTTAAAAGGGATTTTTTCGAAACGTCTGTACGTATGTATAAAACGATTAGGCATATAACTTTAAAATTTTGTGTATGGGACTGCTATATCTAGTTGTATATCATCTAGTCTCACTTTTTTATTGCAATCGGCAGAACCAAACCTATATATATATATATTTTTCGGCCTTTATTTTCGTTGCTCCTAACATATACTTCTTATTAGAAGAGTTTAAAATGACGAAAATATTTTTGTTTTGGCAATACCAAATTTAAAAAACATTAATTTTCGACAAATAACGAAATGTACCATTTAAACGATCTCCCGATTCTTATACTTATATTTGGGAAAGCTTTACACCCGTTAAGAAAAAAAATAAAATTAGAAGAAGTGTGACTTCAGTGTGAAAAAAAAATTAACCGATATATTTAATTTCATAATTCGCAAATTTTGTTATCATTTTCAGTTTGCCTTGAGAGATCTGCTAATTAATTTAGAATAATTCCAGGAAATACTTTTAATTAAAGTGCAAAAGTGTGTATGGTTTAAATAGGTCATGTAAGAAAGTTATATGAAGTCGACATCAGATTTGGTTAGAACTATATAAATTAGCGAGCTAAAAAAAATTACTTCACTAAGCATTCTTCGACTACTTATATGCATATAAACATAAATGGGATTCTTACAGTTTTCTAACGAGTGAGCTAGTCAGAATTCAAATTCCACCTGCAAAATAACCTCGCGACCACAACTACTAACAAATTAATCTATAGAGAAATGTTAAGTATAGCTGTAATGTCTTTCTCAAAGTGCTCCAAAGATATTTATTCACTTAAACTTCCGTAACCTAATCAATCAACCCTGAAATCTTAACCGGCATTACGCGTTTAATAACCTACCCGAGTTCATGTTTTAAGATGTTTTTCATAATTAAGGGATCAGAGTAGCATACAAATAATGGTTGGTGGTATTTCTCAATATTGAATATCTGCTTAGCAAATTTTCCCCTCCAAAATTTGAATATTCATATGATGTTTTTCGTATCTTCTCAATTGATACTCCACCGATATCAGTGCTAGCTTTTCATACTCTCTGTGCAAGGTTTGAATTGCTATCTGTTTAACGAAGAAATAATAATAATGTACGATGATATGCATTAGAGTCTGTTTCAGGATCTCTAGAGCCCCGGATCCTGTGGACATCGATGTTCCCTCCTAGTTATGGCACTGACTTCATGACTTCCAAATTAATCAATCTCTAACTCCTTATTAGTTTATCATTTTTATCATTCTGGCTGTATGGTTATGAATTGGACGATTCATCAACGAAATTTCCATTGTATGGTTAAGCGTCCACTAAATAGCATTTTGGTAAATATTTCTACATTAAAATTTCATTCCGGAACTTCATCCACCCTACCTTACACTGTTCTCTCCCCATGGATGAATGCTCTCTGATATTCAAAAACACAGTCTTTTCTCATCAACAATAAATAACTTTATTTATTATTTTCAAGCTTAATAAGTACATTATTGACACTGTTATAAAATGAACTATTCTGAGTATATTTAGTAAGATGTATCTTTCGCTTACGTATCTACGTAGTCTTACGTATCTTTCGCTGTCTTCAGGGGTCTGAGAAAAATTACATATGTTTGCTGATGTAACAGAACCAGTTAATTTATGGTGTTGCTTCAGTTGTATTGTATTACGACTAAATTGTATCAGCCATTTGTTAAAATATGCAAACAAGATCTTATATACCATTTTTCTGAAATTTTAATATAAAGTTTTGTTAAAAAAATTCATTTCTTACTCTAATTTTAAATACCAATCATATGAATGCAGTAAATTATCTGCTTTATATCTATATGTTTTAAATTAAAAATTAGAGCAGTAAATCTATATCCTATAAATATACTTTTTCTTCAGAGAGTAGATGGAAAAATTGACCCGAATTTTTCTTTTTGCAAAAGAAAAAATTCTGTAGCCTGCCATTTTTTACATTACGCTTATATAGTGAAACTTACTAGTCATATAATTCTCCCACTAAATAAAATAGTTCCATTCTCATTAACAAAGTGTTTCATGAAATATTACCTTTGAACATTGCCATTCCGAGAAAGTAAATTAAGTTGTATCGAAAGATTCGTTTTTCTTGAAATTAAGCTGAGTAACCAAATAAAAAATTCAGTTAAATTATTATACTAATAATAAAACTGTTGTTTTTTATTTTATGATACATAATTGTAAATTGAAAAAGTGCTTAGAAGAGAAGTTTCTGGAGAATACAGATCTTTTGGCATCTTAGAATAATTGAAATAAAGCAACAAAGATTCGAAAAAAAATATAACAGCCAGCAAGAAGTATATAAAATTTCAACAGAAAAAAAATAACAAAACAAACTTAATGAAAAATAAGCATAGAATAATTGTAAAAATTAATCATAATGTTGCCAGTCCTAGTTCGTAAAATTAATCCAAATAATTATTATTACAAAAAAGGGCCTATAATTAAAACAAAAATATTTAGTAGAATTTTCAAGCAAATAAGTTAAAAAAACATGGATAACACCAAAGTTTATTTTAAATTGTGCCGATCAGTGGTACTTCCGGTCTTTCCTTTTTAACTTCAGGTACAGTAAATTGGCTATTCTAATAATCATAAACATAAAAATAAGCATTTTTGGAATCCCAAGAATTCATTTTCATTTGAGACGAATAAAAGAAAAATGAAGCTCTTTGCCGAAATGATCATCTTAATATCAACCACTAACATTTTAACTTTAATAGATTTAAATTTGTCAATGAGATAAATTGCCTACCATTTTTAAACTTTCAGGATAAAGATGTCAAATGTTGGAACTTTTGCCTGTTTAATCGAAGCATTCTGCTGTGACAAATCTTAAAAAATATAATTTTATTAACAGACAATTTCAATGTAAATATTTTTAATTTATAAAATTCCCTAATGAGAGACGATCAGTTCATCAATAAAAATTAACAAAGGAATATTGATATGTATGACAGGATTTATAAACACAGAATTGCTGTTTATAAAGAGAGAGACTTGAAGAATAAAATGATGCAATCATAAACAGTTGTGACTTTCAGTTATTTCGTTCGAATATAAAAATAAGACTCTTTGAGTTGTTATTTTATTGTTCATATGTATAAGAACTATTTTGCTATAGTCGAAGTTCTGAACATAATATGTAATTGGAAAGTAGCTTTATCAGAGAACTGAAAAAGATCTCAGAACAAACGTAGACAGCGCTGATAACAAGCGACACTTTTATGGCCTCCAAAAAGCATCATTACGAGGAGATAAACTTGATCGAAAAGGAAGTGGGCGTATTGTTGACAGACAATGTGTATCTGTCTTTGAGGTGCGTCAAAAAACAAAAAACGAAACACAAATGCCGGCATAACGTTATGTTTAATGCTTATATATGGCTATTATTAAGGTTTAGGATTGAAAATAGTAAACAGAAATATGATTGAGAGTACGCGAAATTTACAAATTTCATGCAGAACGGAATCTGAGGAATTTATTTGTACAATATAAATTGCTCTTTGATCCACAAACAATTTAAACACAGATCCATTTTTCAGACTTTTACAATACAATCTTCAGTTTCCAAATGTACTGTCTCAAACTATTTTTAATTTTTTAATAAGTAATTTTCCTGTTGAACTGTATATAGCGTAAGTGCGAAGAAAATGGTTTGGTTTATTAGATTACGACAAAGCACTCGAGGGCTATCTGCCTTAAGGGAGGGATGCCGTTTCGGAGGACTTTTTAAGGGAACTGGCTCGTATACACGTTACACATGGGGAAAACTACGAAACCACCCATGCAACCAGCCCGTTCGCGCGAAGAAAATGATGCTTAATTACTAATAAAGCTAAATAGACAAAAAAATTGGGTTAGTAGGAGTCAGTGTAATAGCAGACTCGTAGACTGCAAGCTCAGTGAGAGCGTAAAAAACCTTAACAAACCATTTTGGGTGACCGTTAAAATCTTAAACTTTGCAGATTTTTGTTATTATTAGTACTTATAAATGAAAATCTCATAGTGTATAGTTATTTATGAAATTATGCATAGCTTGAAATCACATTTTATAATGCGTGTAATTTCTGTAATTTGTAATTTACATTGTTATGAAGAATATATTTCTACACATAGCAATATTAATTGCTATGTGTACATCTCATAGTTCTTTACATTCTTCAAATAGCTTCGGATAAAAATAAAAGCAATAAATGAAATCACAGGCAGCTGAGAAACAAACCCACACGTTTTAAATAAAATTTCAGACCCCCAAATAACTTTTAAATTTCATTTGTAATTGTTGAAACACGTTATTCGAAAATTAAGTTATTATATCTTAAATGTGTGATTCATAGTATAAAGTCTTTGTAATCCTAGAATCTTAATCCATTGAAACTCTTAATGCTGCTTTTATGATCAATTTAAGAATGTAATTTTCAACAATTTTTGCACGCGTTTGCAATTTTCCACAGATGACGAAATATATATATGAATGTATTAAACTCCATTTGTTTAATGCACTCAGACACTAAATAATAATATTATATATTCCGATAGTGCAAGAAATGTATGTAGTAACAATTTCGAAAATGAAAAAAAAAAAAAAAAAAAAAACTGACATTACTATATTATGAAACATAAACTGTGAATTCAAACTTTTTTAATATTGTTTCATTTTTCATTATTTTACAATAATGTTGAGTTCCACCAGCATTATCGCTTAAGCTTCATTATCTTAATTTATTATGTTATAATTGGAAACGCATTTAAAATGAATAAGTATTTCAAAAGCAAATGTAGTCACATCACTGATTTGTTTCATGATGAGTAACTATGATGCTCAAAACACATTATTTTCTCATTCAGGTCATCCGCCAGAACAATTTAAAACAATTGTAAGCAGTTCCCATGTGCATATCTTGGTGAATGGATCACTGAATTTTCCAAGCGTGGAGCCATCAGATGAGGGATATTATCTCTGCGAGGCAAATAATGGCGTTGGACCAGGCCTTAGTACAGTCGTTCGTCTTACAGTGCATAGTAAGTTTCATTTTTATTTTACGATGCAAAAGCAAATATAATAAGATATTGATAAGTGAATTTTTAAGGTATGGAATTTATGAATTAGAAATATTGTCATAAATTTAAAGGAGCATATTAATTCTAACATAGGGCGTTTACACAATTTTATAATGATTTCGGGACCGTTTAATTAATGTTTAAAATGTAAAGATTATTTGTTATATGTTCTATCTGGCAGCTGTGTTTTCTAGATTATAAGTCTGCAACATGATAGAAGGTTCGTTGTGGGTTTAAGTTTAGAAAGCGTCCTTTTAAAGAGATCAGAGCCACAATAGTGTATATGTGAAACATCAGGGGGCTTTGCAGGATAACGTTTGAAAGGTATATCCAATACCTGTACCTGTCATCATTTTTTCAAGGAATGCAGTGGTACTTTTCCATGTGTTAACTTGCTGCTTTGTCTTTATAAAGTATCAATTTTTGAAAATCACTGGGGTAACAAATTGGAATTTCTTCTGTAAATATTGGACGTAAAACGTTCTCTTGATAGTACATAGAGTTGATTTCATCATTTGTTTCCACTCGTCTTATTTTTAATTCCCCATTCTAAGGGAACAATCATAAACCCTTACCGAAACATTCTTTGCATTAATGGAACCAAGTTTGTACGTTTATTTTCTCTTCTTTTTTGATAATAAACACACCTTTTAATGCTGCAGTCATTTAGGCAAGCCCATGCTTAATGAAAGGTCACAATGTATTCCTATTTATCTCCTGCTAAATATTTTTCATACACAGTTCTACGAATTGTTCTCCGTTGAGGTACTTACCTGGCAAAAACTGATGTGTATTTTTTTTAGCTTGTTTAAGCCGTAAATCTTGGTTTATTATTTTGTTTATTGGTTCTACAGATGTATTTAAAGATTTTGCTATTTACTTTTTGCTTCGGAGTATTTTACCTGATTATCAAATTTAAAATTAGTAGCATTAGAAATAGCGCGTATCGTTTTCAGGTATTTATTTAGAGTCTTCTTTTCACATCCAAGTAATGACTGACGATTTTCCATTTTCCGATTAACGATGTTGTTTATTTTGCACTTCGAAATTTTAATGCCATGCATTTCACGACCTTTCGGAGTTATGGAATGGGAATATTTCTCTTTGGAAATTGAAAAAAAAAATCTTTCAGTTCACAGCTTGTTTACATGAGAGGTTTTGAAAGATGAATAAACTTAAAAGTAGCAGACAATATTATTCATTTTAAATAATATACTATTACCAAAAATTATTATAAAACACTTTTGTTTTATTTCCTCATCGAATTCATTTTAAAAATACGTAAACACAGAAAATTTCAGACGTAATGTATAAGAAATCTGTATTTAATATTTTAAACAGTTGCAGTCATATATATTTAACACAACCCAATATTATTGAGAATGTTTAAAATTATATGTAAAAAAAATAGCACTTTTAAAATTCTGCATTTATGATAAGGTATATTATTCGGAGAAAGTTATTACCTAAAGTATTTCATACTTTAAATCTTAATGTTATTCATATATAAAAATTGTTCTTTATATTTAATATTTATGCCATCCATGAAATGCAAATATTTATCAGAAGATAACAGTTATGTTATGCCGGAATAATATTGCTTGCAAAACTTTTTCATAAATTTTACACTACCAAAAAAAAGAAATATTTAGCAGAGGAGATATAATTTTGTCGCAGATACAGTGGAACTGCATAAAAAATGCATTGCGTTATGCATGAAGCATCAACGTATCTCCTTTGAAATGATACGAACAATAATCGTTTTTGCTAGCTGGAGAGAGCTTATGTATTTTAGAATATGATGCGAAATGCATAATATGTGATGAGAAAAGCAAAAAAGGGTATTTTGCAGAAAACATAATTTTTTTCAGATGCATTTTTCGAGCAACATATATGTAGTGCTAGTATGAAAGTGTCATCTCAATTTCTTCTCTTTTTACTTATATAAAAAGTATCTTTTGTTCAACGTTCAACTTTCTAGAAGCGAACGTTGCTTCTGCATCTTAACTAAAGTTCTAAACCTAACTTTATCATGCATTAACTAAAATAATATGGCTATACAACGGATCCGAGATTTTAGTCTTTCTAAAGGAAAAGCTTTAGAATAACTGCTTAGAAAAACATTACAACCACCATTTCTGATCTGATTTACCTAACATTTATTTAAGTAGATCTTATATTTCTTAGTAAAAAATAATGCTTAAAACAACATTTCATATACAAAGCATTTATTAAGGAGATAAGTAAGTATTTTATTATTTTATACTGCTGCTTAGAATTACTTCTCTGTATATTCATCTTTACAAATGTTCAATAAACTTAAATATAAATAATACTCTTATAAGAGTAGTAGGCAGAAATTGAAACTATTTTTATTGTCTAAATTGCACTTTTGATATTTCGGAGAAAAAGATTGTAGAATGTGTTTCTAAATTTAATTTTGTTATACAAGAACAGTTATTGCAAAGCAGTTAGCTTAAAAATTTGTCTTATTAAATTAAGACTATAAAAAAGATGTTCATATCAGTTCTTGCTATTAACTTATAACAGAAAACTGACATTACTATATTATTAGAAAATGACATTACTATATTAAGCAAGATTATAATATTTACCATGATCGCTAAGAAAATCACGGATATCAGCAGAAAATAACTCAGTCAACATCTCTTCATTAACTAAAAAAACAGTGTGTTTTAAACCTCCGCAGTTTAAGTTTTAGCAACTGATTATTTATCAAGTGACGTAGGTTTTTGAAAACTATAAAATTATGCTTTGGGCACATTTCACAGCAAGTTTTGTCTACCAAGACATTACAAATAATAATTTTAGCAGCATGTTTGTGTGCCATATGACAATAAATACATCGCTTGTTAATTAAATAGAATGTGTTTCAGAAAAAGAACTGCAAACTTATAAGAGTTTTCAGGTACCGTGCATACATATAACTAGGAATCATCGAGTAATATATATAATAGGAAATGTCGTGCAGTAGTGTACACAAAAAACGTCAGAAATGAAACGGCAGCACTAAGTGAACATGCGTTTCAATTAACAAATATTGTTTCACGAAAGTAATAGGAGTAAAGGTAAGTGATGGGTGGAGCCTTTATCGTGCTGGAACCGCTCTGCTTCTATGAACAGAGCCAGCTCACCAGCGGGCGAGTAGTAAAGTCGCTGAACACTGGCAATTCGTTCCGAGATTAGAATCCCGCGAACGGGCTGGCTACATGGTCGTTTCCGTAGATTTCCCCACGTGTAAGGTGTATACAAGCCAGTTTCCTTTAAAACATTTTTTCCACGAAAGCATTCCTCCCCTTAGACAGATAGCCCTTGAGGCTTTGCCGTAATCACATAAACCAAACCAAATCGATGAAGAGAGCAGCGTATCATCCATAAGCTGTGTTAACACGTGTTTCCGAAACTGCTTTGTTTACTTAGAAAGGTAAAATAGTGTAACCCTCCCCAATGCCAGCTCAAATATTTATCGCGAAATGGCTCTGGGGCTGCACGACTTTGTTTCCCATGGACGTCTGTAACCTCCGATGCAAGGGCGTTATGTGAAGTGAAAATCCCTTACCTTGTGAAGTACGAGTCCTCAGCGAACAACAGAGAAGTAGGGAAGAACTTATTTGTAAAACGCAGTTGCGAGAACCACCATGCGAAAGCAATCCGATGTGCATAACTGCGCTTTCGAAATGCCTTCACGTAATACTCATGCATTCCATTTCTTTCACGAATCCTTCCAGATATTGCAATGAGAAGTCATCATTCGTATGTTATAGTTTTCGTCCTTGATCTTTGAGTGTTTTGTACATGATGTAGCATAGTCTTTTCGACGTTTGAAGTCCGTGCTGATCGTTTTTGGCTCATTTCAGTTGTCTTGAAGGAGGCCTAACATATGGTTCAGATATATGAAGAGTTTATGACGGAAGTATGTCGCATTGAATAACTTTGCTCAGATAACAGCTCGCCCTTTAGACTAAGCAACTCCATATATTAGATGCATATCGGGTAATCTCGTGTTCATGTAATCACTCATGCTACTACATCTGCTTACGTGTGTGTAATAAATTTAATAAATTTCTTTCGAAGAACTTTCGGGCTAACTACATCTTCTACGTCCGGAAGGCATTTCCAATTCAGCATTGTTATATGATCATCAGTCGTCTAGGCTCACCCTAACCATCCTACGAGGTTGTAACTCTGGTACTGAGACGCCCTGCATGCAGTCCACATGAGATGCAGTGAAAAATAATAAACAAGTAACAGCTTTTAAAATAGCTATATTTGCCAAGTGGATTTTGTAAGTTTGCCAGTTGTAAATAACTGCAGTTCGTACAAAACACTTATCGACAGAATTTTTTTAATGAATTTATATAACCTTCGGTAAGTATAAATACTATAAATATTTGCATATGTGTAGGTAGCATAACAATGACACGGTATTAAATTAAAAATTACAACACATTTAGCAAGCTAAGTATGTAGAATTTTAGAAGGTACTAAAAAGTGAACTGCAATATATATGCGAGATGATTCAGAACTTGTGAGACAATCTTTAAAGATTTGTACAGCACGCTAAACTAAGCAATTTTCTGTGTACAAAAATCTGGAGTATAGTGAGTAATTCAAGTAAGCAGTTGCTGCGTTGTTGGAGTAATTGGCGTAGAGATTAAAAGTTGTTAAATAATTCTCGCATATATGCAGCTGCAACGAATATTCGAGCAATGAGATTCTCAAGAAAGTCAACCCAATTCTCGTAAACGGGAATATTCAAATGTCACGATAAAAAGTCATCGAGGCTCGATTAATCGGGCGATTCCGTTGGTGTCCGTTGTGGACCAGTCCTCGGCAATTCTCAGCGGTTCATCGCGCTCTAAAAATAGAAGGCCCACCAGCACCAGCGGCCGAGCGGTAAAGTCGCTGAACACTGGTAGTTTGGTCCGAACGGGCTAGCT